AGAAAGAATTAGTTCGTAGAAAGAAAGATATGAAGTGGTTTTAATCTCTTAGTTTAAGGGAAGACAGGGAGTGTATACACCGACGCCATTGTGATCGATTCTGAGCCATGTCACCAAGAGTCTCCAACCATTGGTTACGAAAGTCACGCGGACCCCAACCAAGTAGTCTGCATCTACCAACATGGCTCAGACTAGAAGTTAGTGACTTCAAGCACTGATGCCACGTTTTGGTTTGGCCGCCCCTAACTTTCTTCCAACCATCTCCTACACCGGTTAGCATTGCACGTCGTGGTAATCGGTGTTCAGGCATACGTAACACGTGGCCCAACCATCTCAGTCGATGAAGATTCATAACCTCATCAACTGATTTACCATCATTCCCTAATACCCTGCGTCTAACCTCACTATTACTTACCCGGTGATCCCAGCAGATGCCAGCAATATTTCTAAGGCATCTGTGGTCAAATACTAGTAGCTTACGGGTGTCTTCTACTCTTAAGGGCCATGTTTCGCTGCCGTAAATTAAAACAGAACGGACTGCCGCGCAGTATACTCGTCCTTTTATTGATAGACGGATATCTCGCCTCCGCCAAAGGTGACGTAAGTTGGCAAAAGCCAAACGAGCTTTTCGAATCCGTGCTGAGATTTCGTCAGACACCAACCCATTAGGGCTGATCAGACTTCCAAGATAAGTGAAGTTGTCAACGCGTTCGACTACTTCACTCCCTATCCTTAGTTCAGGTGTTGACGCAGACCAGTCCTGAAGCAACAACTTGCATTTAGAGGGAGAGAAGCGCATCCCAAACATTCTGGCATTGTTGCTTAGTGCTACCAGAAGACTCTGCATTTTGTCAGCGTCTTCACCAAACAGGACTATGTCATCTGCGTATTCTAAGTCGATAAGTGGACCTCCTGGAAGGAGATCAATACCCGAGAATTCAGTCGACGAGAGTGTTATTTCCATCAATAGGTCTATGATGAAGTTAAACAAAAATGGAGAAAGTGGGCAGCCTTGACGGACACCACTTGAGGTTGCAAAAGTAGATGACAGTTCGCCATAAGCCCTGACTCGACTAGTAGTGTTCGAGTAAAGAGCCTTCACAAGGTTTATGTACTTCTGAGGTACGCCTTTCAATGACAGACACTGCCACAGAATCTCGCGGTCTACAGAGTCAAATGCTGCTTTTAAGTCAAGAAAGACCACCATCGTCGGACGCCGATAAGTATGCCTGTGTTCTAGAACCTGACGAATGGTGAATATGTGGTCGATGCAGCCACGACCAGGTCTAAAGCCAGCTTGGTTCTCTCGTGTTTGTAGTTCACGAGTCTTAGTTAGGCGTTGATAATTATCGAGGCCAGTATTTTAGATACTATGTTTGTTAAACTAATCCCTCTGTGGTTGTCACAGGATGATTTTGACCCTTTCTTATATATTGGGACGATAAGTGATTGCGACCAGTCAGATGGGATAACGTCTAATTCCCAGATCTTAGCTAAAATATTAGTCAACCTAATCGCTAAAATTGGACCACCATCCTTAAAGACTCTGGAGCCAATCCATCTGGACCAGCTGCCCTTCCTCGTTTCAGATTAACTATAGCCTTCTCAACTTCAGCAAGAGTTGGGGGACCTACTTCAATGTTCCATTCACACTGTCTGGGAATGGAGGGTAGTTGTAGAGTAGCTGAAGGCCAGCTGAACTGTTCTCTAAAATGTTCCGCCCATCGTTCTAAACGTCTGGACTGGGAGCAGATGAGAGTATCGCTTTTTCCGAAATAATCTCACTTACACTTGACTTATTAATTCCAGTTTCTTTTATTAGTCTGTAAAGCTGTCTTGTGTTCCCTATAGTCGCCGCCTTTTCCATCTCTTTTGCTTTCGTTACCCACCACTGCTCACGGTCGTTCCTTAGACTTTTTCTTAACCTAGATCTGATTTGTTTACGCTCTTCATCATGTTCAGAACCTGATGGGACGAGTTTGCGAGAATCCATCAGTGTGACAGACCTTGAAGAAATCCACTGGTTCCTTGTAACTCTGTGGTTTAAGTCACTAATAGATGTCACTGCTGTTTCCACAGCTGATTGTATGCCCTTCCAAGCAACATCTGGGTCAGCCTCGTCTTCACAACTACCTAAGTGTGACCTCAGTTGTTCCTGGAACCTACTTTTGGTTTTCTCGTTACTCAACTCAGTTCTAACGGGTCTTTTTAATGTGGCTTTTTTGCGTCCAGTGAGGCGCAAGCAGATGCGTGCCCGTATTAGGGCATGGTCGGAGTCCAAGCAGGTACTCCAGAATGAGCGACAATCTTCTTCTTCAGATGAAGTACGTCATGACATATATCTGTTATCCGGACACAGACCTTTAGGTCTCTTGTATCGACGATATCTCCTGATAAACAGTGTATTACGAATTGAGTGAAGATGGAGAATTCAAACCAGTGGATTGCTACTCATCTCCGTACCCGAAGATCTTCAGACAGTTACTGTCTAGGAGACCCTAACAAAAATAAAAACCGTGCAGTACTCCCTGTTTCTCCATGTTTCCTTAGCCTCACTCAGTCTGTGACAAAAGTTATTCTCAAAAGTAAGATCGAAAGTGAATAGGTAGGGTTAGTACTAACCAGTACATATCAAGTCGACTATCATATGGGCTAAATAGGCACAAAAATCACAAGACAATATCGTGATAACGATTATCTTTATCTAGTATATGTTATATTAACTAGAAATACAGGAAACAGTAGTATTAAGAATTTAAATAAGGTCATGACATGTTACCTCATAGTGTTGTACAGTTCTTTCAATTCTATTTGACAGTAATTAGTATTTTTAATAAAGTTCACCACATAAACATTGAGCATCACACACACAGTTTAAACAACAACCATTTTAACATATAATAAGCAGATTAAACGGTGTTAAAACTGAATTCAATTATTTCTTTATACAAATACTCGATTTCAGATTGCTGAACAAAAAATAAAAATTGATCGATAGAGCAAGAGAAAACCAAACCTTTAAATAATGATAGTTGGAAAAATAAACACACTAATGGCAATGATGATATTCAGTTATTATTGCATGAAGAAAGTCTATCCCCCGTAAACATCAACAAAGCGGACACATCTCCAACAAGTCGAAAACCAATGGATGGAGCAATTAACGCAATCCAAAGACCTAGAAAGTGAAATTTTATGGTCTCTTCAGAAATACCTGACGTAAACAGATAAATGGAACACAAAATAGACAGATGAAGGCGATTACAACTGGGTTTTTTCTTTGAATTTCTTTAATTTAACCCACTTATCTATCGAGATTATGATCAATCCAAAAACGACAGTATTAATCATGAGAAATGAATTATTTTTAACTTTGTCTCAAAGAGTTCTGATTTTATGACGTGCTGGAAACGTTGGATATTTGTAACTATAAGTACTTATTCGCAAATAACTAGTGACATCACTGAATAGCTTGCCACAAAAAAATACAGGAGAATATGCTGAAGCGAACTGGAGTAAATGCGTATGCGGAGCGAAATGCGTGAACTACGAGTATTACATAAGTTTAAGTCGATTGGAAGTTTAATTATTTAGATGTTCTTATCTGCAGTAGCTGAAGAATCATAAAACGTAAAATCGACCTGTATCGGAGAGGAGTGATCGGATAACAGATATCAGTTCTATACAGTTATATTCTATACCACGAAATCCTAAGTTGACCACTTCTCTTTTTCCACCTAGTCACACTATGCTACTAATTTTACAGGAAGTTTTGAGAGACTGCAAGCGACTTCATTTGTCATTTTAATGTCACCAGTCAACTACATAAACACTCTCTTCATAGATGAGTTATATTAATCAGTGCAGGAAGTCAGAACGATATTCATTTGTTTCAGGTCCTATGTTGTCTATGTCTAAAAATCAATGTTAACATAAACTTTAACTGAAGCGCCTTGATACAGATATGGTCCATTTTTATTTAATTATTAGTGACACGTTAACCAAGTACAGATTGGCATATTCAGCTTCGATGCACACTTGAACCGAAATAACTAGCAACACTGTTCGGGAGCTCAGATAGAGTTGATGATTCAAACCAGTGATCAAGGGATTGAAAGGCAGAATCTTTTAACCACATAAAGTGTTATAGTTTCACTTTTTTACATGAATCTCTGAATGAAGTTACAACCACATAGCAAAATGTCACAATTAAAGAGCGTTGTTTCTTTGTTTGTTTGTTTTTTTGAACTACGAAATCCAATCTTTTAGAACACAACACAAACTTATAGAATCAAAGTATGACCTATCAATTCGTAGAATAAATACCTTGTATAATAATGAAAACAAGCCTAGATTTGATCCAGATGGAACATTCTTTCTATAAATATAAACAAATGGGAAAAATTAGAAGCAACAGAACTGGATATACATAAAATGAACAATTCCAAAGATACAAAAAATAGAAGAGATAAGAGGTAGGTGCGAATGATTATCACCGAATACGGAAACATGGTAGAATTAAACACGAGTAAAACAAACATAATAACTTGAGTAAACTTTGAAAAAGACAACAAGAAGGATTTGAAACTATGCGGGTTATGTATGAAGCGAAACACACACACCAAAATATTGATATAAAACAGAATATATGACAACAATATACATTGAAATTTTATTGATTCAATTGATCAACGTGAAAGAAAGAGAAAAACAAAACAATTGAATCAGAACATTTGATTCTTCTTCCTTTTTTTGAATAACCCGCGCTCATATTGTACACTGAAAGACTCTTTGCATATAAGGAATTCAATAAATACAAGAAAAAAAAATTGACAAAACACCAAATGCTTATGATAATTCAGGAAAATGAAATATGAATTTAGAAGAGTGAAAGAAATCGAAATGTAAAGCGAACAGTCAATTACAGAATAGTAGTAAGGACCATCTCTCTCTCTCTCTCTCTCTCTCTCTCTCTCTATATATATATATATATATATATATATATATATATAAAGACACGAGGTCGCTCGTTTAACACGAACCAAACGTCTTACACGTGTACAGCAATAACAATAATAATAGTAGATACAAATTTATAGTACATAAATGGAAAATAGTCCATACAACAGAAAGAGAGATTGGCAATTAAACTTGGCTTTAAATCTTTCTGATTCATTTCTAAGAAACAATGAAAAACGGAGTCAACAAGTACAGTGAATGAATATCCGATAAGTAATAAGAAGGAAGATAACAATAGTAAATATATATTTATATACATGGATATAGATGCATGTAGATGGTATTGACAAAGTGATATATTGAATCACCCATATCAGTATATTCACGTATACTAAAATAAATCAATGGAAATAATAAACTTGAAATATCACAAAGACGGAAGAATAACACATAACAGTAAACAAATAGTGTAAGTAATTGAATTAAAACTATTTTACACTGAAATCTACGTCTTATATATCAACAGAGGGATATATGCATACGAAAAACAGAATTATTAAAAGCGGGTTTTGTGGAAATTTTTAGTACTTTTATAGTTGACATCATGAGTCAATTAAAGCTAGATCATGGAAAACCTGGAAGCACTGGAAGGCCGTTTCGTCCTAGCACAGGACTCCTCAGCGGTGCACATCCACGATTCCGCTCGTGGGAGTCGAACCCAGGATCTATCGGTCTCGCGCGCGAACGCTTAACCTATAAACTAATGAGTCGGGATCCAAAGATATTAGTATATAGCCTCAACCAATTCACGAAATTGTGTCACCGTCCACCATTGTTTTCAGTGAGTTACTATTTCGCAACACACCTGGTTAGACACCACTGGTCATGGCTTCTTACTAGCACTCTAGGAAATACCTCTTGAAGCCAGTCACTAGTGAGCACATGATGATTATTATCAGAAGGGGTTGGATCCTGGCTTAATGCTCTAGAGGTTAAGCGTTCACGCGCGAGACCGATAGATCCTGGGTTCAACTCCCACGGGAGGAATTATGGATGCGCACTGCTAAGGAGTCTCGTAATAGAACGAAGCAGCCGTCCAGTGCTTCCAGATTTTCGATGATCTAGCTTTAATTGACTCATGAATTCAACTATAAAAAAATAGGATGTCAAAAGTACTAGATGATAACGGTACTATATTTCTGGTTCATCGTGCTCCTTCAACTACATCACACACAAGAAAATCATATGAACCACACATGACTCTTCATTCTTCTGTTGGTCCATTCTCAGTTCTTAGCAATTCTTTTATATTATTCATTATCAACCACTATATATGTACTTGTTAGATTCCGATAAGCATAATGAATGGTAATTTTGGGATCTATTTATGGACTAATAGTAAACGTATATTTTTATTGTATAATTGTTAAATAACTAAACTATTCATATTCACATTCCTCTTATTATAAGCTTTATTTTGGCCTATGAACCATTATTATAAGTTTTACCATTCTTGAATTATGCCCTGTCTATTAGTCACTGCCTCCCATATTCACAGCAACGTTTGGCCAAATTTTGTACAAATGTTATTTTCTATTTTATGCCACGTTGTGGTCTGTTTGATTGGTATATAAACTCAGTATGTTTGAAATATAATGATTCATATCGCAGAGGCTAGGATTGGTGTTCTGGACTTAATTGGCTGGGCTAGGCGGAAAACAGGACCAATCAGGACTCTAGGCTGCTCGCACGGGTTTTACGCATCATTGATTCGATTAATAAGTCACTGCCCCCTAATTGGCAATATCATTACTTACCCATTAACAGGGCACACAGGTCACAGGTTATAACAATACTTACTTACGTCTGTTACTCCCAATGGAGCATAGGCCGACGACCAGCATTCTCCAACCCACTCTGTCCTCAGCCTTCCTTTCTAGTTCTATACAATTGTTGTTCATTCTTCTCATGTCTGCCTCCATTTCTCGGAGTGATGTGTTATTTGGTCTTCCCATCCTCCTTTGGCACTGAGGACTCCAAGTGAGGGCTTGCCTTGTGAAGTAGTTGAGTGTTTTCCTCAATGTGTGTCCTATCCATTTCCAGAGCTTCTTCATGATTTCTTCCTCCGCTGGGATATGTTTCGTTCCCTCCCACAGTAGATTTTTACTGAAGTGTCTGACCAACGGATCCAAAACCACTATATATATATATATATATATATATATATATATATATATATATATATATATATATTCAGAGCAGCTAAAGCCCTAGAAGTACCTAACGATTATACTAGCAACTAATTGAATTTGTAAAAAATTTATTTTCTAATACTTCTCAAAATGTTAACTAAACAAAGATAAAATTGTATTAACTTACTATAAAAGTAGCGGGGGTAATCATAGCTCAGAACGCCGGAACATTTGAACCAGATATTAATCATCTAAGACTTTTCATCATTTTGACTGGAAATTAAGGAACGATAGTCCAACATTTCTATTAATTGTTGGATTTCTTTGACAGCATCTCGCCGCATGGCTCTAACATCTTCATTTCCATCACTTTTTAAGGTATCCAAACTTAGTATCAACTGTTCCAAGTTTTCCATAAGATGTTTGTATTCCTTACTCTGAGGTGCACCTTTGAATTAACGAATGGTATAAATGAAAGCAGAAATCTTCAGGAATGTTGAAGAAATTGGTAACATTTAACTTTTATAAAGCGTTTGATATTAGGGGTTGATTTTAATTTAACTCAGTAACCACTATCATCACCTCTAAAGGGCGGCCTGCTTGAGCTTCTGGGCTACCTGTTCCTGCCATCTAGATATTCCAACAAGTTATCTATTTTTGTTTGTTTTAATATATCTTTATGTTCATTAATCACATAACCTATTCTGCTGCGTTTCTGAAAAGTGTACAACCTTTCGTTGTCAAAGTTACAAAAAACTCAATAAGAGACAATGTGGTTGCTGGCAATATACAGCGAAAAGAATGTACATTATTCAGATGTTCATTTACTGAACTGCTAACATCTAAGCGGCTATCACTCAATATTTATCGCCAGGACCGACCAAGAAGAAAGAAACGGAAACTTGTTGAAATACTTTGCGCTGAGAATTCTATATTGTACCAAAAATATAATATTGAATAAAGCTGATAATAATAATAATAAGTACGGATTTTCATAGTTGATACTGAGTAACACGCTGTTTTAAGAGTTTATGGTACAGACCAACCGATCAAATAGGAATACGTGGAGCCAGTCAGTCAAGGTTATCTCAAGTGCTATTAGAGGTATGTGTACAGTTTTTACCTTTCAGTTGCTCACATCATGAAATACTTTTTCTTAAAAAACCTAGAATGGAAATTAGATTGGTGGCGGGTTTTTTTTCTACTTCAGTGTGTGCCCGTAGAACACGACAAAGAACAATCCTCTGAAGCTGATACACCCCATCAGAGTGGGTAGTATCAGTGAGTTAAATGCAACGTACGATCTGGTACGCGTGTACATCGATTCAAGTCTCCATACCGGATTAGCACAACCAGATGAAATTTTTAGAGCGAATTTCAGATTATTAGATGGAGCAACAGTATTAGTGGCAATATAAAAGATTAGGTACCAAAAAAACGATTCAAGAAAGTATAATTAATGAAATAAAAAAATCATGAGGAATTTGGAAACCTCGGATCTAGAGGGAGACAAGGAATGGGTGCACTTGCACTACGGTAAGCCAGTTTGAGTAACGTCATTCAAAGTCTCTAACCACTGGTTATGATCAGTCAGTCAGTCAGCTACAATGTAGGACCAGGCGCATATATGCATCCGTCAAAGTTACCATAAATGATTAGCACAACAAGATGAACACCAAATTCATAGTAGTCACTTCAGTGGTAGTAATATATAAAAGAAAGACTGTGTACAACGATATAATACAAGAAAGAATTAGTTCGTATAAAGAAAGGTATAAAGCAAATTTAATCTGACTGTTTAAGGAAAGACAAAGTGTGTACGCACCCACACCATTGTGATAGGTTCTGAGACATGTCAGTCACACAGTCTCCAATCATAGTCACGCAGACCCCAACGAAGTAGTCTGCATCTACTAACGCGGCTCAAACCAGAAGTTATTGACTTCAAGGACTGACGTCACGTTTTGATTTATTTTAACGCATAGATATTGGTACAAGGAGGCACCAAATACATATGCGCCACACAGATCTCATTTGATATGTGTGAGGGCCTTGATACTGCCCGGATGCCCAAACCGAAACAGGACGTTTTGGTTTGGCCATCCCCGACGTCTTCCATCCGTCTCCAACACTAGTCAACATTGCACGTCGTGGTAATCAGTGTTTAGGCATGCGTAACACGTGGCCCAACCATCTCGATCGATGAAGATTTACAACCTCAACTGATTTACCATCATTCCCTAATATCATGCATCTAACCTCACCATTAATTACACGGTGATCCTAGAAGATACAAGCAATATTTCTTAGATATCTGTGATCAAATGCTAATAGCTTACGAGTATCTTCTAGTCTTAATGGCCACGTTTCGCTGCCGTAAAGAACAGAACAAACTGCTGCGCAGTATACTTGTCTCTTAATTGATAGACGGATATCTCACCTTCGCCATAGGTGACGTACGTTGGCAAAAGCTAAATGAGCTTTTTGAATCTGTTTAGAGATTTCGTCAGACACCAACGCATTAAAGCTGATCAGACTTCCAGGATAAGTGAAGTTGTCGACACGTTTCACTACTTCACTTCCTATCTATAGTTCAGGTGTTGACGCAGGTCGGTCCTGAAGCAACAACTTGCATTTAGAGTGGGAGAAACACATCCCAAACATCTTGATATTGTTGCTCAGTGCAACCAAAAGACTGCATTTTATCAGCGTCTTCACCAAACAGGAATATGCCATCTGCATATTCTAAGTCGATAAGTGGATCTCCCGGAAATAGATCAATTCGTCAAAACTCAGTCGACGAGAACGTTATTTGCATCAGTAGGTCTATGATGAAGTTGAACAAAAATGGCGATAGTGGACAGCCTTGCCAGACACCACTTGAGGTTGTAAAATCAGATGACAGTTCGTCATAAGCTCTGACTCGACTGGTAGTCATCGAACAACAAGCCTTCACAAAGTTTATGTACTTCTGAGGTACTCCTTTTAATGACGAACGCTGCCACAGAACCTCTTGGTCTACAGATTCGAATGCTGCCTTTAAGTCAAGATAAGCATGTCTGTGTTCTAAAACCTCACGAATGGTGAATATGTGATCGATGCAGCCACGATCAAGTCTGAAGCGAGCCTGATTTCCTCGTGTTTGCAGTTCACGCGTCTCTGTTAGGCGCCCGATAATTATTGAGGCTGGCATTTTAGATGCTACAATAGTCAAACGAATCCCTCTATAGTTATCACAGGATGATTTTAATCCTTTCTTATAAATTGGAACAATCAGTGACTGCGAACAGTCGGATGGCATTTGTAGTGTCAGTCATTATTTTAAGCCCATATACCTTATTCTAGTTTTCGAACAAACCAATCTATTCATTCTACTCGAGTCACATTCTGACCTTGTTAATTATTCGCTTATCACTCTTCACTGTTTTTATATGAGTGCATATGTGTGTACACTTCCCATCCCATTCATCACATGTCTGTAGCTTATTTTTGTCTGCCTATAAATATTGATTAACGCCTGACTAAAAATGAGTTGGCTTACCAGCCACCTCCACTGCGCATCATTTTTACTTGGCTTCACCGTGTGCTTGCTTGCTGTTCGCTTGCGGATTTTTATTAATCATTAACAATAAATTATCTCTATAACTGGTGTTCCGGCTTCTGAATAATCTCGAGTAAATCTGTAATTCTACTGGGAGATTAAGCCTACCTTAAATACTCAGTTTACGGGATATTATTTATTGGAGTCAGATATTGAGGACATTAGCCTCAACAGATTACGTCCAACTCCCAGATTTGAGTTTAAAAATATTATTCAACCTAATCGCCAAAACTGGACCACCATCCTTAAAGACCTCTGAAGCCAATACATCTGGACCAGCTGCCCTTCCTCGTTTCAGATTAGTTATAGCTTTTTGAACTTTAATGTCCCATTCAAACTGTTTAACAATGGTGGGTAGTTGTAGAGTAGCTGAAGGCCAGCTAAACTGCTCTCTAAAGTGTTCCGCTTATCGTTCGAAAGCTCTGAGCTGAGAGCAAATAAGTGTCGTCTTTTTCTGAGAGCGTATCACTTACACTTAACTTCTTAATTCCAGTTTCTTTTATTAGTCTGAAAAGCTGTCCGATGTTACCTACAGACGCTGCCTTTTCCATCTCTTTTGCTTTCGTTGCCCACCACTGCTCACAGTCGTTCCTTAGACTTTTGGTTAACCTAGATCTGATTTTTTTCTGCTCTTTATCTTGTTCGGATCCTGATCGTATGGGTTTATGAGTCTATCAGTGCAATAGACTAAGTAAAAACCAATTGATTTTTCCGTAACATTTTGGTTTAAATCACTAATGGATGTCGCTGCTGTTTCCACGGCTGTTTGTATATCTTTCCAAGCAACATCTGGGTCAGCCTCGTTTCAGAACTACCAGAGTGTGACCTCAGTTGTTCCTGGAACCTACTTTTGGCTTTCTCGTCACTGAGTTCAACTCTAATGGGTCTTCTTAATGTGGCTTTTCTGAGTTCAGTGAAGTGCAAGCAAATGCGCTCCACAATATAAAAAAGCATACTGCAAACAACTCTCACTGGTTAGAGGATCCGAATGTTATGAAAACACTTGAGAAGTCACTGATATGCGTCAGACTGGTCAGTTCAAGAGATTAAGCTAACCAGTAACTTAATTGCGAAAAATTACAAATAGGTATCAAGGAATGGATTATATAAGAAGTAACAATATTATGGAGATGAACCAAAAATTATGACAGAAACAAGAACAATTAAAATAAGAATGCAACTAACATAGGTGTCATCCAGTTACGCGCATCTCGTCAAATAAAAAAGGAGAAAGAAAATAAGTGAGATGAGAAGAATATGGAAAGAAATGATATCAAATGAAACGAAAAATTATTTACAATAAATACGGCTCGAGAGAAATCAACCAGATGGAAGAAAAGCGTAGCAATAAATAAGTCCTCAGAATAAATAGTTCTGTATGTTTCCGACATTTCTGCTGACCTCAGAAGTTTTACTGGACACATCCTGGCTGAAGACGCTCGGTCACGTAACTGCACTATATCACAAGTGAGTACACTATGCTACTTATCCCTTGTAACTACTAGTCAGCTCAGATCAAACGCTTCTAAACATGTCGACAACCTTCCAAATATATATTTATTCATCCTTGACTTCTCAGTCAGTCAGTCAGTCAGTCAGTAACAACGTAGAACTTTACGTACGTACGTACATCAGTTCGAGTTGCCACACCACATTAGCACAGAGATGCAGTTGTCGATTCAAATCCCGTAGTGGTAGAGGTAGTAAGAGTATAAGCAGTAATCGGGAAGATTAGGGTTTGGAGATGTTATTTAAAGAGTATAATCCAGTGAAATAAATTTGGAAAGAGGAAAAAAGGGACATGAAGAATTCAGAAGATTAGAATTTGGGAGAACACAGAGAGTGGATGCACCTGCGCCATTGCAAACGATTTTGAGCCATGTCATTCAGGGTCTCTAACCATCGGTTGCTATCATCTCGCGGTCCCCAACCAGGTAGTCTACACCTACCAACATGACTCAGTCACTTGTCAGTGACTTCATGGACTTGTGCCATGTTTTGGTTTGGCCGCCCCTAGCTTTCTTCCAACCTACTCCTATACCACTGAACATAGCACGTCGAGGCAGTCGGTCGTTGGGCATACGTAACACGTGTCCCAGCCATCTCAACTGATGAAGTTTCACTACTTCATCAATTGATTTGCCATCCTTACCTAGTACCCGTTTCCTAACAACTGTTACTTACTCGATGGTCCCATGATATACGAGCAATTTCGAAGACACCTATGATCAAATACTAGTAACCTACGAATATCCTCTACTCTTACCGGCCATGTTTCACTGCCATAAAGTAGGACGGAACGAACTGCTGCGCAGTAAACACGTCCTTTGGTTGATAGACGGATATCTCGCCTACGCCATAAATGACGCAAGTTGGCAAAAGCTAGTCGAGCCTTCTGTATCCGTGCTGAGATTTCGTCACACACCAAACCACAAGGGCTGATGAGACTTCCAAGATAAGTGAAGCGGTCGACACACTCAACTACTTCACTCCCTATCACTAGTTCGGGTGTCGATGTAACCCAATCCTGAAGCAACATTTTGCATTTCGAGGGAGAGAATCGCATCCCGAACATGCTTGCATTGTTGCTTAGAGTGGTCAGAAGACTCTGCATTTTGTCAGCGTCTTCACCAAATAAAACTATGTCATCAGCATATTCTAAGTCAACAAGTGAACCTCCCGGTAGAAGTTCAACCCCTGGAAATTTAGATGAGGAGAGTGTTATCTCTAAAAGTACGTCGACCACAAAGTTGAACAAGAATGGGGAGAGTGGACAGCCCTGACGAACACCACTTGAGGTAATCAATTCTGATGACAGTTCGCCATAAGCTCTCACTCTACCAGTTGTGTTCGAGTAGAGAGCCTTTATAAGGTTAATGTACTTCTTTGGTACTCCTTTCAGTGACAAACACTGCCATAGAACCTCACGATCAACAGAGTCGAATGCCGCCTTAAGGTCGAGAAATACTACCATTGTGGGGCGTCTGAATGTGTGTCTGTGTTCTAGAACCTGACGTAGTGTGAATATCTGATCTATACAACCACGTCCAGGTCGAAAACCAGCCTGGTTTTCTCTAATCTGCTCTTCACGAGCTTTGATTAGGCGTCGAAGTATTATTGAAGCTAATATTTTAGACACTATATTAGTCAAACTGATTCCTCTGTGATTGTCACAAGAGGACTTTTGTCCTTTCTTAAAACTGGCACAATCAGTGATTGAGACCAGTCAGATGGGATTACGTCCAGTTCCCAAATTCTACCTAAGACCTCAGTTAATCTCATTGCTAATACTGGACCACCATCCTTAAAAATCTCAGGAGTAAACCTGTCAGGGCCTGCTGCTCTCCCTCGTTTCAGATTTCCTATGGCTTTTTCAACTTCGTAAAGGGACGGAGGACCTACATTAACTTGCCATTCAGGTTGACTGGAGATCGTGGGAAACCGAAGTGTGGCTGAAGGCCAGTTGAACTGATCCCTAAAGTGTTCTGCCCATCGATCCAATCTCCTGGATTGAGAATGAAATATGTCCATCTTTCTCTGAGATTGTTTCGCTAACGGTCGGGTTCCTAATTCCGGTTTCCTTAACGAGTCTGAACAATTGTCTGCTATTACCTATTGCCGCTGCCTTTTCCATCTCTCTTGCTTTCGCTACCCACCACTGTTCGCGATCATTGCGTAGACTTCTTGTCAGCTTGCGCTTAAGCTGACTCCGCTCTTCATTATGTTCAGAGCCAGGTGGAATGAGTTTCCGAGCATCTATCAGTGCGATAGATGCTGCTGAGATCCAGTGTTGCTCCCTAACCTTCTGGTTTACCTTACTAGCAGATATCACTGCTGTTTCCACAGCTTTTCGGATATCATTCCATGCTGCATCGGGGTGGGCATCACATACATGGCTGCCTAACTGTTTTCCTAGTTGTTCCTGAAATATACTCTTAGCTTGACTATCATTAAGTAGGCCCTAAGAGGTTTCCTTGCAGCGTCTTTCCTACGTCCAGTAAGACGCAAGCAAATACGCGCTCGCACTAGAGCATGATCTGAATCTAGGCATGTGCTCCAGAATGAGCGACAGTCTTCTATCGAGCCCCTCCATCGGTGGCTGATAGCGATGTGATCTATTTGGGTCCAACGTTGGGACGAATTAGGGGGTCGCCATGTTAAAAGATGTTTTTCCTTATGCTTAAAGTTAGTATTTGCAAGGAACAGGCGGTTATCTGAGCATAGCTGCAACAGACGGTCGCCATTATCTGTTCTTTGAGCCACGACACCATAAGATCCACCTAGGTGTCTTTCCCTATCGCTTAGTTTACCTACTTGAGCATTAAAGTCACCGGCCACTATTACTACATCCGAGCGCTAGCTTTTCGGAGAAGGTCCGAAAGCTTTCTGTAAAACTCATCTTTTACATCATCTGAGCTGCAGTCAGTGGGAGAATAGGCAGAGACGACGAAGAGGCAACGACGAGTGTCCCTATCTTTCCGGATTCTTACTGTTCCGTTCAGTCGGACAGCGCACAAACGACTGTCTACTGGGATCCACTCTAAGAGAGCTAGTTCTGCCCTAGGACTCAATGCTATACCTACGCCGGCGAGGCCACGGGAAGCAGAATCAGGGCTTCCAGATACACGAAGCGTAAATCGAGTCGGTTCTTTATTTTGGCATGGTGAGGTCAAATGAATGACGCTACTTGGATCCTGTATGCGCGTTTCGGAGACGCAGCACACATCGATGGCGCGAGATTCTAAAGTTTTAGCTAAGGAAGCCTGCTGTCCTATTTGGCAAAGTGTTCGTACGTTAAAAGCTCCTACGTGTAGTTTAGAGCGTGGTTTCAGGAGACCAGGAATGGCGTTCCACGTACTCGAATCGTTTGCCCTAGCGGTGCGAGGTGATAAAGAGACGTGAGGAGGGTTAGTCATGGAGATAAGAGAGGTATTAGGAGGTGTAGGAAGGATTTGAATGTGACCACCTTGGTCTCTTGTGCTGTTACGGGTATGAGGGCTGATGTCACTTCCCGGCTGCCCACACCGTGGAAGGGTATTTCTTGAGGAACCTGAAAAGGAAATTGGATTAGTGTTGGTCTTGACGACCTGGGAGCGTGACCGCAGAGCCCAAGGGACAACTGCTTGAGGCCGGTCGCGCACGGCCTTTTTGTGGAAGGTTTTTGATGTGTTAGCTCCGTTCTTCAAAGGGCCTTACCGCCGGAGACGGAAATCCGTGAGGTAAGGTGAGGTGTGACATTTTTAGGGTCGACCTTTTCTAACCCCACCCCTCCTTGTGGGAAGGCAGCATCGCTGTCATGCTGGTTGTCCGAGGGAAACACCTTACTGCTGTCACACCTCTCTACAGTCAGCAGTACGACTTCGCCCTCAGACCTTGAGTTGCTGCTTTTAGTCTTACCGTTCACCAATCGACCTGCCTGGCATGGTAGAACCTACAGGAACATATGTTCCAGCCAATATAGCTCGGTTGGGTCATCACGATAGGCAAGCCCGACCACCGCGTCAAGGTAGCAGCTTCGGTCGGGTCCTTGACTTCTAATTTGACAGGGTTGGTACCCTTATATTATAAAGATGTTACAGACAAAAGCGTTAGCAAACCCTGAGTATTTGTGGCATATTTAAAATTAGAATTAAGTTCTGAACCTAGAGAATAAAGAGTTAATGAAAGTACACAATTGTATCCGCTTTTTAGTGTTATCGTTCGTTTCCAATCATAATTTACGATTACCAACTCATCACTTAGTCAGTTAACCCAAGTGCATATAAATTAGTAAAACAATAATTGAATGTAAAAATTACATGTGAAATAATATCAGCAGTTGTCAGTCAGCTAAAACGTAGGACCAGGCACATATATGCATCGCCTCAACAGTTGAGATTTAAATGATTTTGTAATCGTGAATTTGTTTATTTCCTTGAGTTTGGATCAGTTAGACCAACGAAATATTGGATTTACTTAGATGTTAATTGCTGAAATTATTTCAAATGTAATGTCTTCCATATACTTAGCGCCCAATTTCAGCTAAATCGTCCACATTTCGAAGATTAGTTACATACGATAATAACCACCGCGTTATATCTTCCACAAATTTAAGAACTGAAGTGACTGGTAATGATTTTCGGTGTTTCTTAGATCATAAGTAAAGAATGTAGTCACCGAAAAAAGCATACTGACAGAAATGCCTCGGTCAGTCGGTAATAACCAACATGGAAGTGTATAGTGAAAGGAGTGGCAAGAGTAAAAATGCTACATTCACTTACCTGATACACTTAATACAATACTTTTATGTAATTTGAACCTTCATGTGAAAGTGAAGTGCTAAATAAGTACACTCACCATCAAAATAATCTATTTTTGGCTGTAATGAGCGTGCCCTTGACATTACATCTGCGATTTTTTTTTCACAGTTAGAGCCACATGCATCAGAAGAATTCTTAACGTAGAGACTATTAATATTGCGTGTAACCAACTTGTTCCGAAAAATTTGACGGATTCGTTCCGTTTATTGATGAATATTCTTGATTTGTTACAGGATGGTTCCACTGCGTAGACCGAGTGTTATGATCCACAAAATAAAAGTTTCCTGATTTTTCATCAAGTCTCATTTCCCAACCAGGAGGTAGAGGTTCTTTGGGATTCATTTTTGGACTTAGTGAACCCACTAAACTGCAAATTTACCTATATTTGGAGAATGAACAAGGTTTTAAAAAGTATATCATTTGGTATTGTAAGTAAGAGCTTGGATTAATCCTTCAAAGATACGCAAGCATGACGATAGTGGGAATACAGAGTGAGTAGTGATGGTTTTAGGTACACCTTACCATATAACAACGTCTAATAGGTTGACGAAACTTCATCGAGCGAAGTAGTTGAGAACTGTTACGTGGTCCCCGTAGCTTTCTATCCTGACGTCCAAAGATGACCAGAATAAAAACCAATAGGTGACTAGACGAAGATATGACATCAGTCTGTGAAGACACTTACTTCTGACCTGATACATTTGAGGAGGTGCGGACTTCTTGTTCGGAGCCTTCGTGATGAGCAAAATATATGGTTGATGACACCAACAGCTGAGGTGGTGGAAATGAAGTCATTTTTCCTCTCCTAAGTATCAAGTCATAATACTAATTTACACTTCCTACTCTGCAATATGACATTCTTATTAAACTATATTCATTTAAAGATCCTCATCATATTAAAAGACTAACACTAGTCTTCTAAACTATATTCCCTGTTTTATATATTATAAATAATACTACTGTTGTGGTCATTCCCTTGCTTTTAATCTTACCAGTTTACTGTCTATCTTAATTAAAAATGTGATTACTTGGACAAACATCTACCAAGTCAGTTCCTTAGGGAAACATTTAGTTGAATCATTGTACTGCAAAAAATTGTTTGAAAAATTGGTTGATCTTAAGTAGTAATTGGTATCCCTGAATTCTGATCTATCAAATCTGACTTTTACCTAGTGCGTTTTTCATGAGTTTGACGTCTAAACTAGATATCGGTAGGTGTATTACAGGATACCCAAGGGCATTCATAACGCTAAAACCTAGTGGGAACATGACGTTCTAAATCCTCATAATCACATGTTAGTCCTTGGCATCACAAGGGTTTGATATCCAGATTACCCACAAAGTCCTCGTAAGTTGACTCAAAATTCACTTTAGATACCTGCAAAAATTATACATGGAATACCTTACACTTTTCAATTCCGCATCGTCAATAAAGGGACTTCTTAACACATCTGATAGTCAAGAAAGTCTTGGAGCCGAAATTTAAAGGCGATAGTAAACAAGTTGGGCATGGAGAAAATAATGAAGCTAAATGATGAGTGTTTAGCAAGACATAGTTACCAAGCAGCTTGACCTACAGTTCTAATCCCAATTTCCCGATGATGGAGAAAATTCTATCGACTCTGGCCATATGACTAGATATGGTGGGGCAGATCGTTTATGTAAATATGAAGAGCAGTGGCTTTTACACTACCACGTTATATTATATGATACTCCGTTTTTCTTTCTTATTAAAACTATGACAACAAATTCCCAGGTAGAAACACCAACGTGCACATTGGTACACGTACCAACAAAGACCCGAAAACAGCTAAAAAAATACCCATATAGCTGCACAAAATACCAAAAAGAAACAGATACTAAGCGTAAAATTACTGGGAATTCAAAGGTGTAAGACTGAATTAAATCTAATATCCAAATATTATGCTCGTCAGAGCCAAAAAAAACCTCGGCAACGCCTCAGGGGTGTCGTTCACTGACGGAGGTTGCGAGCACTTGAAGGTCAAACTGTCGCAAGATGATTGGTGCGTCAGATTTCAGATTCAGATTTGTATAGTAAGGACAGAAGGCCTACGGCCTATGTTATTCCTTTTCTAGTATGCTTCTGTGAGTGTCCAGTCTTCTCTTGAAAGAGTCAATTGAAGGTGCGGATACCACTGCTTCAGGCAGCAGGTTCCAAGTATTGATGACTCGGTGTGAAAACCTGTATGCCAGGGGTATTTTGTTCGTTCTTGGCTTTTCTACTCGCCTGCTATGTCCTCTGAGGTGTCCCGATCTAGTGGGAAGAAAGAGAGAGAATAAGTTAGGTCCGAAATCACTTCTCAGTATTCTGTACATCAATATTAGATCTCCCCTTAGTCTGCGATAGGACAGAGTAAAGAGGTTCAGTTTTTCAAGCCGCTCTTTATATGATAAACCCGGAGTTCCGGAATTGCACGCGTAGCTGCCCTCTGTACCTTTTCTAGTATGTCTGAGTCACCTTTAAACAGGGGCTTGCAGCCTGAACACAGTTCTCTAACTTAGTTCTCACTAAGGATGTGTATAATGTGGTGAACATGGTAGTATCAAGCTTAGTGAATGTCCTTTTTAAAGCCCAGAGGGTTCGAAACCCCTTAACTGCGACCTCCCGGCAATGGGCCGTCGTCTTAAGATCATTGCTCACTGTCACCCCTAGGTCCTTATGAGACCGGACTACGGGTAATGACACATCCCCTATGTTGTACGTATTAACCTTTGAATCCCCCAAGTGCATGTAGACACACTTTTCCGAGTTGATAGGCATTAGCCACTCTTTAGACCAGTTTATCATATTATTTAAGTCCGCCTGAAGAGTAAATGCATCTGTGTCTCCAGTTATTACTCGCCAAATTTTTACATCGTCAGCGTATAATAACATTGGAGACTGTACTATACTTGTAAGATCATTAACGTACATTATAAAAAGTAAAGGACCTAGGACGGAACCTTGGGGTACTCCACTAAGTACTGGTCTCCAGATGGAGCACTTGGAATTTATTCTTACTTTTTGCCTACGACCTACTAGGAAATCCTTAATCCATTTTAAAAGAGGTCCGGCAATACCAAGGTTTGCCAACTTCAATAGCAGTCTATTAGTTGGCACCTTGTCAAAAGCCTTACTGAAGTCTATGTAGACAACATCCACTGAGTTTCCGTTGTCTAGCGCATTAATCCAGAGCTCCCTAGCTATAAGGAGGTTCGTTGTACAGGATAGACCCTTTCTAAAACCATGTTGTGCCATGTTCAGCAAGTTATTGGTTTCCATAAATGCTGTTATGGTCCGTTTGATTATCCTTTCCAGTATTTTAATTACAACACTGGTGAGGCTTACGGGTCTGTAATTTGATGGAACTTGTCGTAGACCTGTTTTATGTATGGGAGTGACGATTGCGTCCTTCCAGTCCATAGGTAACACACCTTGGTCAAGTGACATTTTGAATATCACAGTCAGTGGGGCTGCGATATATTGGGCAATATGTCTCAAGATTTTAGGGTGTAGTTCATCTGGTCCTGTTGACTTCTCCATGTTTAGGGTGCTAAGAGCCTTAAGCACATCGTTTTGGTCGAAGTCCACGGTGAGCAGCTGGTTTGTTGACTCTGTAATTGGGTCTGGTTCTTTCTCTAGAGGAGGTTCCTGAGTGAAAACTGCCCCAAAGTAGTCAGCCATAACCTCAGCTTTTTCCTGATCTTCCTCTATCATTTCAGATTCACTTCCTACTTTAATTAGGTTGGGAATCCAATGATGAATCCTTGTTCTGTAGTTTATGTACGAGAATATCCTCTTGGGCTGCTTGAGTGCAGATTCTGCCAGCTGCATTTCATATTTTCTTTGCGCTTCCCGAATTTTAGTTATACACTCGTTTCTTATCGATCTGTAGTGTTCCATCGTACCCGCTGTGCCAAGGCGGATGGCAACATCCCAGCATTTCTTCTTTTGTCTTAGTAAGCGTCGAATATCCCGCCCTATCCAGGGATGTCCGTGCTTCTTTTTCTTTGGGACAGTCCAGGGTATGTATGGTTGAGTTACCCGATTGTATAACTGCCTGAATAGAGTCCATGCCTCTTGTACTGATGCCTTTGAGTCAATTTCCCAGTTCTCAGCCGATGCTGCGGAGTTAATTGCCTGCATATCTGCCTTCCATATGTTAGGACGGGCCGGCGCAATTGTTTGACAAGCAATCTCAGCCATGAATTTGAATAAGATGACTGCATGGTCACTTCTCCCAAGTGGTGGGAGAAAAGCCGTTTGACCAACGTCATCACCGTGTGTGAAGACTAAATCTAAAAGAGAAGAGTTTCTTAAGTCGTATCTTGTGGGATCTCTAATGTGTTGGAATAATGCTAGTCCAATCGAGGTTTCTAACAGTTTGGAGTCGAACGACGATATGGATGACCCTACTTCTAAGTTAACCCAGTTTATATATGGTGCATTAAAGTCGCCTACTACAAGGCTTTTACCGTTGTTACACCAGGACTTAAGTTTACTAAGGAGAAAATCATCTGCTACACATTCTGGACTGCGATAAACTACAACTACTTCAATATCTTGCCTTCGGCATTTCAACTTACATCTCACCAGTTCACATGTCCCTGAAACATGTGCTACTGTCTCAGCTAATCTTATGGTTAGGGTACTTTTCGTGTACAAATAACCCCGCCTCCCCTTCGGTTTAATCTATCAGCCCTACTGGTTATGAAACCAGTCAATTGGATTTCACTATCTAATACTTCTGACGTTAACCAAGTTTCCGAGACAGCGATAACGTCCGGTTTTTCTTTGTCCACCACTGACTTCAGCTCCGCCATTTTATTTAGTAGGCTGCGAGCATTTGTGTAGCACACTTTTAAGTCTGTGGAGAGCTTTCCCTTGCCACCCAGAGTGGCTTGGGGATCGTTTTGCTCCGAACTTTTACAATCTGAAAACCCTTAAGAACGAGGTTTCTTTCACCGTTTCGGCGACGCTCGTTTATTTCCGCTTCTGCAGCTCTTCTCTTAATACGATCAGCTAGGCTGAGGTCCTCACGGACATATATTCCGGATCCAATCAGTTTACGTGAATTACTTAGAATCAGGTTCCTTTCTTCCACCGTGTTGAATGTAACCTTTAGGAGGCGGTTTTTCTGAGGACTTTCGGAATCCACCTTTTTTCCTATTCTATAAAGCTTACAAATACTAACTCCTGAAACTGTATCTGGGAGTAGTTTACTTAATGATGTCTTAATATGATTGAGATCATGTTCAAATCTTGCCTTTGGTTCAGTATCTGAAGATTCTCTTATCTTATGAAAAATGACTGATCTATCAGAGAGATCTGTCTTTTCACGCGGTGAGGATTTTTCTTCTGATAACATCCCTTCCAATGTCTTGCTGACCAGCTGCGTTTTGCCTACAGCCTTTTTCTTCTTATTTTTTTTCTTTTTACCGAAGTCCATTTGTCACCACTCAGAACAGCCACACCTGGACTATGTGGAACGGTGACAGTTTTATCCGGATCTTCTATTTCGACTAGAGGTGTATGACTGCCGATGTCATTATCAAGCGACACTTCATTTCTCGTTAATGTCAACGGAGATTTCACGTTCCCGTCAACCGCAGTCAGGTGTTTAATGGGTCCAGTAGCAGCACTTACTACACTGACACATTCTTCATCGTCAGTGCTCCTGTTATCAGTGCTTCCGCCATCGTTTTTCTTGCAGGCCAAAGCCAATAGGCCCATAGCCTCCTGTATTAGTACCTTTTTATCCGTACAGCAGAACACACAAAGCCAATGCGAGTTAGGCTTCGAGCATCTTTTGTAAGCCGTCGGACTTAGTCGTGTACACATTTTGTGATACCACTTTTTACAGTCGTCACACTGCATTCCCTCCTCAACGGAGAACAAACAGTTTGGTTGCCCACATTTGTGAGTCTTACCAACCATTGTAATTCGATTTAAAAGGTTTAAAAACAAAAAACGATAACAATGTGAACACAAGTCTTAGTCAAGGACTAAAAACAGGTACCCAGGACAAAATGTAGCAAAAAATTTCAAACTTTAACCAAAGAACTCTTAGTTAAAGTAGACCAAGAATGCTTTTTAGTGCAATAAGTACCAAAAGCAAATATAATCACAACAAGTACAAATATCACTGTCACATCGACAACTCGTGAAAATTTTCAGAAGCGGTCAAATCAAGACATCTTTAGATTTGAATTGAGTTCAGCCACACCATGTCTGATAACGTTTGTTCTTCAAGTAACGAAGACGATGCCATCGTGATGATGCATGATATAGGACGAATCTTCAATGATTCAAATGGTTCAAATGGTTGTGGACGGAATAGAAGAAGCTTTCGCTTAACAGGCTTCCGTGTCTAGTAGCAGGGGATCACCATATCCTCCAGGCAGGAACCTAGGTATGTTAACAATAAAAGAGGAAAAGAGATTGGTAAATCATAGTGTGATGCTGTCCTTGGTCCTTAAGAATAGGTCAAGTTGCCTCTTGAAGGACTCCTGAGAAGTCGCTTGGACTAGCTCGGCTGGCAGCGAATTCCAGCTTTTGACAACTCTTAAGGAGTAGAAATTGTGTCTACATTCCGTCTTGCTATGTTGTGTTTCCAGTTTCTGGGTGTTACCCCTTAGGTTGTTATTCGAACTAAGCTTAAGTAGGTGTTTAAGAGGACGTCCAGAAGTGTTAAGAATACTATAAGCCATTAATAAATCACCTCTAAGACGCCTATATTCTAGTGGGTAAAGGTCTAGTGAACGGAGGCGTTCTTCGTAAGGCTTAGATTTGAGTCCTCGAACTGATTTCGTGGCTCGCCGCTGGATACGCTCCCGAAGATTTACAAGTTGGGACAATTTTGAGAAGTGTTTGAAAGAAGTACACAAGGTAATATGATTTCTGTGGTTAACAATTATTTTTTTAGTATACGCATACTAAGTACGTTATGTCAGTATGCAAAAAGAACAGTGATGATCCAACTCTAAAGTACTTTTTCATGAGATATGTCTTTACAT